GCCACCTTCCAACGCGCATTGCGATTTCATCGAAACTTCCCCCCATTGCGCCCATACCTAAGTATCTCACCTGGGCATCACTTATATTAAATCATATCAAACTCGGGGTCTTGACTCTCGCAGAACCGCTACAGCCAGATACCAATATCGGGGACCTTGAACGCCTAACTCAACTTGCGCTCCGCAATACGAGATGACAGACGAGGAACCTTCGCTGAACATACCATCGCTTCTCACTCTAGCGGTTGTATCGTATTTTGTTCTCCGGTGGTTTTTTAACCGCGATGAAAGCCCCGCGGGAGGAAACCGAGGTAGGGGCCGTGGCAATGTCGTCGATCCGGCACAGGTGGAACAGATCGCGCAGATGTTCCCACAACTGAGCACACGGGACATAATGTGGGATCTGCAGCGTAATGGGGGAAGTGTTGCCGCAACCACAGAGAGGGTTTTGACTGGACGGGGCCTGGAAACGGTACGTGCTACGTTGATGCTGTCATTAATCTTCCCCGCCTCGGTCTTCTCGAAGACAAAGCGATTTGGTTGCAGGCTTCAAACATCAACCTCGAATTAATATACAAGCATTAGCTGATCCAGTCTCTTAGCCTCCTCCTTCCTTCCAGCCTCAGGTCGCAATTCCCCCCACCAACATCCAGCCGACGCAAACCGCCACCGCCGCGCCCGTACCCAAAGCAGACGCACAAGACTTGATTTCTCGGTACAATCTGAGTGCAAAGGCCGAGAGCCCTCCTACAGAGTCACAACCCGAAACACCTTCCAAGTCCTCCTGGTCTCAGAATAAGGAAGAGCGCCAGCGGATACTGCAGAAGCGCCGGGATGATATGATCTTGGCAGCGCGGAGGAAGATGATGCAAAAGAGCCAGGGCGATGTTCAATGATATGAGAATTATCACGCTCGCCTGTCGACAATGTGACTTTTTGTACACTGCTTTTTGACGTCTATAAACCTGGCCAAACCCGGCACCAATGTTTCCTCGAGGCCGATATACCCTCTCCATTCTTTCGGTTTTATTTCGCCGCATCATTCCTGTATTAAAGCGTTCGCATGCTGTATGGTGTTAGTCAAATTGGAACAGTTTCGATTATAACCGTTGGTCATTGGATCCGGAGGGTATATTGGATTATATACATGAAAGTCGTTTTGGGCATTGATCTGCGTCACATATGCACCGAATAACTCCAAATGAAAGATACCCCCAAAACAGGAAAAACAAAAATGGTCTTAAATGCTTAGAACTCCATGTAATCTTCTTCTTCGTCATCTTCCTGGGTGCCATCGTAGCCACCATTTGCTCTCTGCTCGGCCATTTGTTCGCGCCGCGCCTGTTCCTTGGAGGAGCCAATTCTCCTACGAGCCAGTTAGCAACCAAGTTCCCATATACTTGAATATGCAAGTGTCCGAGAATGAGATCAAACATACCGAAGACCATCTACCACACCAGTAACGAACCCTCGCTCCTCTCCCAGCTCCATAGAACCGACACCCGTCAAAGCAATACCACCACCACCGGTTGCCGCAGCATCCAACACATCAACGCCAGACCTCATTTTCGCCATGCGCACCTCGCGCAGGTCCTTCAGCAGTCTCCGAATCTGATCCGGGTCCACAAGATCATCGCTCGCGGCGTCAAGCAGCAGATTCCCAACCTCAACCCAGTGAAACGGTAGTGAGGGGGGATCCCGCGAAGAGGCCATGGTCTGGGCTGTGTTTTGGGGTAGGAAAGGCGGCGCGGCATAGTATCGATTACCATCTGGCGTATACTGCGGCCGAGCAGATGGCAGGGCATCGCGGTCCAAAATGCTAGGTTGACCAGGCAGGGGCGGAGGTGGGGAGAAAGCGTTTTTGTAGTCTTGGTGCTGTGACTCTACTTCAAGGATGAGAGCTAATGGCTCTGGGTGTAGCCATGTTGGTGGGATAATGTTTGCGCGGCGTTGGCGTTTGAGGAGGAGGGCAAGCCAGAGAGGGAGGGAGGCGCGTCGGGGTGGGAGGAGAGGTTCAACAGGGCCCTGGAGATGGTTAGCCTTGGGAGAGTTTAGATGAAGTAGTTGGGAGGCGCATTCACTCCTAGTAGTTCGAGGCCGTCTAGACGCTGGCGGGGCACAATTGTCACCGTTTCCATCTCTGCCAAGAAGGCGATCTCTGAGGCCGTGACGCCCCGAGGAAGAGGGAAAGCCATTGAGGGTGTAAATAGGTAGGTGAAGGCGATTTGAATTGTTATAAGAGTCGCGATCTCATCGTTTTTCTTGGGATGATATAGGTCGTCTTGATCGTGGTCTTGACCGTTTGCTTTGAGTTCCTTTCGTTTCGCTTTTTTCCCCCTTCCTTCTTATTTGATTATTGTGCCTCTGCTCCTCAAATGCTCAATTGACTTTATTAAATGTCTTCTTTCAAGTCGCGTCGAGATGGAGACTTCGAAACCGTTCAAAACGTTTGAAACGTTTGCATCGGTCGAGGAGCTCCGCAATCTCCGACTGGGACTCCGAGGCCGACGAACTGCAGATCGTCTGGCAATTTCACTTATTTACTGCGGATGATTATTTGGATAGCATGGCCAATCCTCCAGAATCAGATCGCAGCCGGAGTGCTCGATGGTTGGTTCCTTTTTTCTTGGTCCTGATTCCTCTCTGGGTGAGTCTTGTCAACAAGGCTATCCCCGAACCCTACCTCGACGAAGTCTTCCATGTCCCGCAAGCACAAGCATACTGGTCGCATAAGTGGACGCAATGGGATCCGAAGCTCACAACACCGCCGGGCCTGTATTTGTGCTCATACATCATATTCGCTATTGTGCTGCTGCTACGCGGATCCCCGACAAAGCTCACCCCGGATGTCCTGCGCATGACGAATGTCGGTGCGACAACAGTTGTTTTCCCTTGGAGACTGCAAAAGTTGCTTGATACCCTACAGAAAACGACGAATACTCGGCCATTAGGAGCGAACGTGTCTCATACCGTGTTGAACATATGCTTGTTCCCGCCGCTGTTCTTCTTCTCTGGCCTATACTACACCGATGTTCTTGCTTTGCTGGTTGTCGTGGAGGCGTACAATTGGGACTTGAAGAGAGACGCAGAAAGAGACCAGCAAACCGATTCCGGTAGAGACACGAAAAAAGCGCCTCGCAATAAGATTTTGGAAACATTGGGATTCCTGGCTTTCGCGCTGGCTGCCCTGGTTTTCCGTCAAACCAATATCTTCTGGGTCTCGGTTTTCCTAGGTGGGCTTCAGGTGATCCGCAAGATTCGAAAGTCTGCCACGCCCTGCATGTCATCCAAAGTGGCAACTATCGTGAAGCAAGGCCTGCAAAATGAGGTGTATGATCCTCTCGTTTCGGAGGCTTCCTTGGAAGGTAAATTGATCTGATATGAAGCAATCCGGGGCCATGCTAATCCATCATCTAGATTACCTGAAGACCGCTATTTCACTTGCGACTGTCGGCCTGAGGCAGCCTTTCTCTCTCCTTGGTTCTCTCGTTCCTCACATCATCGTCCTTGCGGCCTTTGGTGCATTTGTACTTTGGAACAACGGAGTCGTCCTAGGTAAGAGTGACTTGTGTTATTACATAAAATGCGATTTTTTATTGACAGCTGCTATTCAATAGGCCACAAGGAGTTCCATACCGCGGGAATCCACCTAGCTCAGATGCTCTACATCTGGCCGTATTTCACCTTCTTCTCATGGCCTCTTTTCGTCATTCCCCTGATCAACATTTTAGCCCCAAAGCCACTTCCTCAATATTTGAACCTCGGCTTCCCATCGAAACAGAGGAAATATCCCAAGCTCATGGTAGCCCTAATTGTGATCCCGCTTATGCTTGCCGTGGTCCACTTCAACACCATTGTGCACCCCTTCACCCTTGCTGATAACCGCCACTATGTATTCTATGTGTTCCGGATTCTTTTGCTTAACCCAGCAGTTAAGTATGCTGCAGTGCCGGTCTATTTCCTCTGCGGATGGGTCGTGATATCTGCCTTTGGATTTACCACCATCCAACGTCCTCCCAAAACCCTGCGAGTTCAGAAATCTGCCCCAGCTGTGCCCCGGGCTCCAACTCCGGCTCCAGCTCCAGCTCCAGCAGCTCAAGAGCCCAAACCCACCAAGCCTTCTGTGCGCAAGCCTTTGGAGGCGCACCAACAACCACCAAAGGGAACGAAGAAGCCCAACCGACCTATTAATAAGAAGACCAAGAAGGCCGAGCCACCAGCAGAGACCAAGACGGCTGAGCCAATATCAGAGACCAAGAACAGTAATCCATCTCAGTTACCAGTGGAAATTACGGATCCAAATGACCCCGCAGTCCTGGCTAGGGTCCAGGAGCACATCTTCACGCGGCAGAGAGAATTACTGGAGGCACCGCGTGTTAGCTTCGTCCTTATTTGGCTGGCTGCTACTTCCCTTTCGCTCGTCACAGCACCCCTTGTCGAGCCTCGCTACTTCATCATCCCGTGGGTTATCTGGCGTGTGCATCTTCCTCCTCTGCCATGTCTGTTCAGGGACCGAGAGACTCGCCCCCGGACGGAGGAAGCTAAGCGCCGCTCTGACCTCATTATCAACACCCCAAAGTTCCTGGAGACGGCTTGGTTCTTGACGATTAATTTCATCACTGGGTATGTCTTCCTGTACAAGGGCTTTGAGTGGCCGCAGGAACCTGGAAAGACTCAGCGCTTTATGTGGTGATATTTCTACCTTTTGTTTCATTCTAATATTCCTTTTGACTTGCCTTGGTTTGGTCGCTTGTACAATAGAAATAGAAATTTGCTCGAATACTCTTCTCAAAGCTATTGAGTTTTGTGTGGTCTGTAATTAAACGTAGATTTGGTATATCATGTATCCAAGGCGAGCTGCATCATCGCTCGAGGGGACCGTAGACTGTAGACCTCATCTTCGACGAAGAAAGAGTGATACGTACATGTTCCGTATCGCAATAAATTATATATATGTACCAAATGCGAAACGAGAAACCCTTCCCTCTCCGTGGTTATGTCTACTGCTGATCCTTCCACGCGGTATATTTGTTGTAAATATCACGGCGGAAGGTTTGCTTCAGTTCGGCCAGCAAGTCTCCATCAACCGGAAGCGCAGCCTGGATGGCACCGACACCACAGAGGTTGTTCTTCCGATCAATAAACCAAGCAAGGCTCAAGCCACCACCCCAAGTTAACGTCCGCTCACCATACCAACCATCAACATCCTCAAGTGTCAGCAAACCGCCCAACCCATGCCCAACCTTCGAACCCAGATCAGTCCCAACGCGGAAGGAGGGCCCAATAGGACCAGCAAGCGCAGCTTGGTGGCTAGCCGCCGCTTCTGGGCCAAGATGTTGCTGGAACATATTGTCGACGGTAGCAGCATTGAGCAACTTGCCATCATTAGCCAACAGCGAGCGCAGAACCTTCACAAAATCCAATCCGGTCAAGAATAACCCATGACCACCAAAGTCACCACGGCCTCGCAAGTTCATATCGCCGCCACCACCGAGCACAGCACTACCAAGAGCACCGGGGTCACTGGGGTTAAGATCGACGAGACGTGCTCGCAGATCCTCGCGGGTAACAGGATAGAACTGAGCATCTGTAATACCGAGCGGGTCAAAGGTACGCTTCTGCAGATATTCCAACAACGTGCCGCCAGTGACGCGCTCCACTATGCGACCAGCCCAGTCGAGACCGGGCCCGTACATCCAGCCGGTACCGGGCTGGAAGCTGAGCGGGTAGTTGAACAAGTCCTCGACGGGACGAGGGTCACCGTTCTCGGGATTGCCGAACTGCGCGCGCCACTTGGCGATCATCGGGTTCAGGAAGAAGTAGGTGGTGCCGGAGGTGTGCGTGAGTAGCATTTTGAGGGTGATAGGGCGGGCTGGTGGGTCGAGCTGAGGGCTTCCGTCGTCGGCAAACCCGGTGAGAACATGCTTAGCAGCGAGCTCTGGGGCGATGGACGACAGGTCGCCGTCTAGAGTTAGGAGGCCATCTTCGACGCACTGTAGGGCGGCGATGGTTGTAAACAATTTGGTGGCCGAGGCTGTGTACAGCACGTCGTCGAGCTGCTGTGGCTTCTTCTCGCCTGAGAGTAGAGTGCGCTCTCCCGATGCCTTGTTGTACACGAAGTGACCTTCGGCATCAGTGGCACAGATTACAGCGCCGTTGATCTTGCCGGCGTCGATAGCGGATTGGAAACTAGCGTCCATGTTTGTTTTTGAAAGAGAATGATACTGGTGCAGAGGGGTTATCTAGTTAGCAGGAGGAAGGTTTATATAATAGTTAGCTATGTACGGAATACATAAAATCCGAGTAACAGGTCAGTTCGGGGTCTCGTTTTGGATGGTGTCGGACTCTACTTTTGGCCAAGTCGGGTGGCTGCCCGCCACCCACTCAAACAGTAGGCGGTCTAATTCAGCCCCATCCACCATTTACTCAAATAGGAAGGCGGTAGTTTTCTGCCGTGAAGCGGGGTTAAAATGAACTGAACGCATACATCTTTCGCCCTTCGGGGCATACTGTCAAATGAAAATATACAGAGAAGATTAGCATGGCCCCTGCACTAAGGTTGACATGTGTGATCAAAGAGAAGCTACCTATTTTTTTCATTCACGCGACCTCACATAAGATGATAAAGTGCCCGGGGTTTTTGCAGGTTGTATTATACTGTTTATATATATGTATGAACGTGCCCGTCGCCGTTCGACTCTGGGCGTTGCGCAGTTTTTCTGGAAATACCTCCCTCCTAAACTTGATAGAAATTAGCAGGTCGTAATATGTACGTAATACAAGGTTATATTTACAGGTTTTATTATGGAAACACGAAGAATAGAACATCAGACAATATTTTTTCTAGGCTAGATTGAATTAAATTAGAGCTGACTATTGACATACCAAAAGTAGTTCTGGTTATTAATGCACTATTCTGGTCAATCAACCAATCAACTGGGCTTGTGGTTTAGTGGTATAATACTCCCTTAGCATGGGAGTGGTCCGGGGTTCGATTCCCCGCGAGTCCATTTTTTTGACTTTCCTCAAGTCAATGGGTGTTCTTGTAGCCCTAAGTCAATTAGAAATGTGAATACTTGCTAGTGACTAGACAGGATCTACCTTGTGTTTTTTTTTATTAAACCCGAGTCGAATTGGTTGGATTCAGGAATTAACAAAAAACACAGGCGAGGGCCAGTTGTAGGCCGGCCTCATATAATACTGTCTCACACAATACCGTCCTTGCACAGGGAACACTGGTAGAGGCTACCGGATGGAAAATTGGAGTTGGTCGATCCACTCGCCAAAGGAAATCGCGTCCCATTTTTCATCATACAGTCCAGCACCCAAAGCGATGCGGTCTTCGCCCATGAAATGGGTCGATGGCCTTGAACCTTCCCTGTTGATAATTCCACAAATGGGTCTCAGGACGTTCTAGAGTAGAGTTATCACGTAGATATGTGCTCAATTCTCGACAGATTGGTTTCGCAAACCCTTGGCTTGATGTTCGGTTCTTTGTGAAGGGAAAGCATCAGATCACTTCCAGATCACTTTCAAATCACTTGTTCAGGCTGTGACCCTAAGAGACAACCTTCTCAGAATGTGTATCGTCGTTTCCAGAACCTTATTGAAGGAAGGCATGGTGGTTAGGAGGTGGTTTGGTGACAAGCCTGATAGATGAGAAAATCGAAAGTTTTGCGAGATGCAATCAAAGTATGCACCTGCCGGATCAAGATCGGATTCTCCGAGACACGATACATCCTACAAAAAATACAAGTGAACCTCCCTTCGACAATCGTGCCCCCTCCTGCCTGAAATTTTAGGTGCACCTTCCTAAGTAGGTACTACTCCTACCTTAACATCTAGTTTTGCCTATACAAGATTAAAATTCGTCATCTCAAAGGAGGGTCAGTTTGACAGACCTATATTTGGTCGAGCTGCTATGGAATAAGAGGCATCCTTATTGCACGCCCCGGGGACCTCTAGAAAATCGAAAAGTTTGGCGATATCAATAATTGTACTAATAACCTTGTCATTTAATAGACCGACCATCAAGAGAAACGAGGAAAACCAAGATGGCCATATAGTTCTTGATGGTCGACCGATCAGCAAGGAAAACCGAAGAGAGACATTGCGTAAAAAACAGCCGATAACAGATCTTCAACATGATAGATATTGGCTTTTCCCTATTTATGGCTAACACTAGAAGAGAACGAATGCAATATTAGCCCAGATGTCACCCTTTATGCTGCGAGAAGTGGCCTGTTCAGATACGATGTAGTTGTATGTGCAACATGTGGGGTCTGGTTTAGGATAAGGTTGTCCATGTGGGTCCGCTAAAAGGATCATGGAACCTTAGAAGCGGGCTAGGGCCATATGGTACGGAAATTTACATGAAGTTAAGGTATTCCCCGAGCTCTAGGCAATAAGTAAGGGTAATAACCAGGTACCGCGTCATGGTAGAGTGCATTGTCTCAAATATTTAGTGACTGTGTGTCGCTGGGTATATATACTATCTCCGCCCCTGTCTCGGAGGCACTTGTTCTTGCTTCAATGACAAGGAATACATATTGGATATTCTCTCAAGACAGTATTTGTACTTGCTAGTTACCCTACAACATACTTCTACATTGCCTTGAAAGTCGTTGGAATTGTTCTCATATTTCCAAAACTTCATAACAGACTAGTCATTAACATGCAAAACCCCACAGCAAATCTATTTTTTGACGCATATGAAACGGAAGGATCCACGGGTATCTGTGTCCATCTAGTCTTCATCCATCGACTCCCATCCATCACCACCACGAGGCTCACCCTCATCACCATCCTCCTCTTCGTCATCATCAGACTCATCATCATCAGCATTGATACCAACAGTGCGCTCCTGGACTTCACCAGCAAGGTCAGGCAGACGAGACACAAACGCACGACGGACAGCGCCGTTGGTCGAAGCATCCCAGATCTGCACATTACCCTTGCTACCAGCAACCGCCAACCGGAAGCTGACCTCCTGGTCGGGGGCGAAGGTAGTAGAGAACACCTTGCCAACCTCAAGCTTGCGCGTGACAACAAGAGTAGGCTTGTCATTCTCGACGCTCCACAGCTTAACGGTCTTGTCTGTTGAGCCGGTCACCAGGAAGCCGGGGATGGAGCGGTTGATGTCGAAGGATGAAACGGAGGAGTCGTGTGCTTGCAGAGACCAGACGGGCTTGGACTCGGCGAGGGTGGCCGGGACATTGCGCATATCGTAGCGGTAGACCATGCCACCATCGGTGGTCACGTAGAAGTAGTTGGAGTCGTGCGAGTCCCAGCGGACACATTCGACGTCTGCGTCGACGCCCCAGCGGGCCTGCGCGTCCGGTGCACGCATATCCGCTGCCACGACGGTGCGGTCGTAACTGCCGCTCAGCAGGATGGTGGACTCGGTTGGGTGCCAGTCTAGTGAGCAGACCTTGTCCTTGTGGTTGGAGTAGGACTTGGCGCAGGTGGCGGTGTTGAGATCCCAGAGCTTGACGGTCTTATCGGCTGAGGCGGAGGCAAGCAGGTTGCGGTGCTGACGGTTGGCGGCCAGCGCCAGGACGGCATCGATATGGTACTCGTCGTTGGCCTTGGCCTTCTTCTTTTGCTTCTTCTTCGTCTTCTCGGCGTCCTGGCCACCCTGTCCGAGAATCGCGTTGGGGTACATGCAGTCCACGACATCCAGATCCCAGATCTCGATATCGGGCTCCATGGTTCCGATAGCCACGAAGTTTCCTTGTGTCCGACCTTCTGGGTTCTTGCCAACGGGAATATCAAGCCACTCTGTGCAAAGCGGGATGCCGGGCAGCATGATGTCGTGGTGCACATAGAGGTTGTCTGCTTTGTCTTCGTAGACGTAGACCTCCAGGTGCGCAACTTCATCCTCCACCTTTCCTGCCAATAGAAGGTTGTCGTGGGGCATAATCTGGAGCTCCTCCCGTTCGTCATCATCCTCGTCCTCGGGGATCACAAGGTATGGGTCCTCCTCGTTGGGCTGGTGGTAGGCCAGGGATTGAACATTGCCGAACATGGTAACCTTCTCGCCGTCATTATCGACCTCCTCTTTGTCGTAGTTATCCATGTCGAATTCCTTCAACACATCATCATCGCTGTAAAACCGATCAGCACGAGTTCCTCACTGCGCTTAATATTACTCACTCCTTTGCATCGGTGCCATTGGCTGAGGGCTTCTCCTCAGTATCCTCTTCCATAGCATCATCACCCTCATCTCCGGATCCTTCCTGGGCAGCATTCATATCGTCCTTCGCATCCTCAAGCTGAATGCGCGCAAGCTTAGATATGCGGCCCATCTCGGCCTCGTCAATCTCATATTTGGTAGGGAACTGGGCAGCGACACCGCGCTTCACCCATGTCGTGGTCGTAATCATGGAAGACATTCTGAAAGTGTTGTGACAAAACTGATCACGCCCGTCCACTTTTTTTTATCGGGGCGGTATTTTTTTTTTATCGGTGTGCCTGAGGGGCTGTCCGCCCGGCAGAATCTGGCCGATCTCCTTACCGCCCGGGCGTTTTGCGGAACCGCGATGTTCTTGCTTTGCGTTGATCGTACGATTGAACTTGCAATTGTCTTTCAAGTTGTTCTGCTTTTCAGCCTAATACCACCGCGATCATGCATTCTCACCTCCACACCTCTTACAACGTCAGTACGTCGAGTCCACCATACCCGGAAGATCCATCCAGCCATCCCATCCCGCTTTATAATTGCCAATACTGACCGATATCACACAGATTGCGAAGAGATCATGACTGCTCTTGATGAGTGTCATGCCAAGGGATTTATACACAAAGCCATTGGAAGCTGCAATGATATCAAAGTCGAAGTGAACAAATGTCTCTCCGCAGAGCGATTCGACCGCGCAAAGCGCAACCGAGACGAGGCGCGCAGCAACCGCCGGCGTGTCGAGGAGATCTGGGCTAAAGAGCGCGAGCTTGATCAAGGCCCTGCGGTGGCGGCTGCTGCTGCTGCGAATGTTGCGGCGGCTAATGCTGCAAAGCAATAGACTGTGCCGTGTGATAAGCACATGCCATCATGTTTTGGGACTGGAGTTTGGAGTGTGTTTTATGGCTATTCTTTGATTTGACTCATACTATAAAAGACAGCACCGCTGCTTGGTATGCGTGGTAGGCTTGTGCACGGCTTCGAGATTGCAAGTCGACTAGGAGATGTTCTCATGAGAATGCACGGGGACAAGCAAACTGAGGTCAAATTATCTCCTCTCATTTCATCTGGGGAAGAAAACTTGTACGATATCTGAACATATGAAATATAGGTAAAGGGTATATCAGGTGGTATAATTTGGTATGATATGTAAAGATGATCCATTACTATCTGCATGCTAGCTAGCTGTGCTCCCGAGAGGTTTACAGGGTTTGCTTACTCTCGGCACCTAAGGCAGCCACTTACTGTCGGCGTGGGCCGTATCGTAAATGTAGGGGTCCAATCAATGGTATTCAACTCTCTGTATTTCTGTATCAGCTCTCCTTACAATTTATATAGAGCCTTGATTATATAACATTAATTACAAAAATATATAGGATTAATAAATCCTCCGGTATACCGGTCGTTATACTCCGACACACCCCCTTAGCTATTCTAGTATAGGATTAGTAGACTTAGTAGATCGGTATATTAGTCTCTATAGTTTAATAACTAGGCTATTAGATAGCCTATATCTACTTATTACGATATAACTAGACGTGAGGCCATTCCTAGATTGGTGCCTTAGGCCCATAGGAGGTTTGACCTCTCCGGAGGGGGATCGCCCGTGTTTCCCTATCCTTCCGAGAAGGGTTCCCTATAGGAACGGGACCCCGCTCTACGTATTATATTTCCTCCCGCTATTAATATAGGGAGACTATATATAAATTAGACGATATAGAGGAAGCCTAACGGCTCTTTAAGAAATAGTCTTTGACTTTTAGGAACTATCTATCTTATTACCTTCTCCTACCTAATTGATAGGTACCTACCCTGACTTATAGAGTATCTTTTAACAATAACTTTCTTAGGTACTACTAGCGGCTCTAGTCTCTTATTATTACTAAGATTATATAGCTCCTATACGTCGAATTATATACAATCGATTTAATATTAGCTAGCTATATATCCTATATCGTTATATCCTTTAGTATAATATAAGAGGATATACCCGCGGAGAGGTATTTAGCTATATTCGTTATCCTTTATAGATAGGCTTCTAATTCTTAATTTAGGGGTTAGTTTAGGGTTAGCTTCGGCGACGGGGGTAACGATATAGTATTACTTTGACCTTAATTCGACGATAGCTAGGTTTAATAGAACGATTCCGGGCTTATAACTAATAGAAAGCTAGTATACGAACAATATATGATATAAATGACTAATATTAACAACTCTAACTTAACTAAAATAACAAAACCCGCTATTTTAACAATCTGTGCGGACAATGATGACTGACTATAATATGCACTTTTGTATGGTATGCCTAGTTCCCAATGTCATATGATGTTTCCGGTATATTACCTAGTTTCTACCATGTATACAGACTTGGTATTCGACAATACATATAAAGTGGAAACTGATATTGTGGTATTTCCACGTTGTTGTATAGTAAAGAATGAATTATTGGCGCGTCTAGAGAGGATGTATGATTTGTTGCTTGCATAGCTTTTCCAGATCATGTCCCAGAAAAACAAATGGGACTTTCCCCGACCCAATTCAGCTTAGCGCGATCTGAGTGGGGCGCTAGGAAATAGAGCGTAAGTGTCCCGTATTTGTGTAAGACCTCGCAGTCGCCTTGGTAGATATTTAGTTAAGAAATAATACTTAAGTACTAATACGCTAGACACCCTAGTGATAAGGTGATACGTATGATATTGGTAGGCGCGTTTAGAGATTTGAAGCCCTACTCTAAAGCTAGGAACGTTATTATTAGCTAGTAGTACCTTTACTATAGTCTCTATAGTAAGCCCTTATTCGGCTATATTAGATAACGGTTCTTAGCTAGATAGCTACGCTGCCCTAGTAAGGATTGATTTTATTAGCTTATTAGCTTGCTATAGAAACGGGTCTCTATAGTAGCTTTTATTAGATAATAATATATAATAGCGCTGCGGACGCTATACCCTAACTAAAAGCTAGGGCCTAGCCGATTACTATAAAGAGCTATAAGAATCCTCTTCGGTAAGAAGAATATCGAAGAAGATCTATACTCTCTCTACTAACCTACTATTAAATTAAATAATACCGCCGCCTTAGATATCTTTCTATCTCTAAATACTCTCTATATAATATAGCTTATATATTATAATTAAGTTTGCCCTCTTTATATAAAGATTATTCTAATTCCTAATAATTATATAAAGTCCTATAATCTAATATCGTTTATTTTTATATTAGTAAAAATCAAAAGTAGTTGACGGAAAGCTGGTGTACGAACAATGTATGGTATAAATGACCAATGTTGACAACTCTAACTAACTGTTAAAAGATACTCTACAAGTCAGGGTAGGTGCCTGTCAATCAGGTAGGAGAAGGTAGCAAGATAGGTGGTTCCCAGAAGTGCAAGACTGTTTCTTGAAGAGCCGTCAGGCTTCCTCCATATGGTCCAATTTATATACAGTCTCCCCATATTAATAGCGGGAGGAAATGTGACACGTGGAGCGGGGTCTCGTTCCCGCGGGGAACCCTTCTCGGAAGGGTAGGGAAACATGGGCGATCCCCCTCCGGAGAGGTCAAACCTCCTATAGGCCTAAGGCACCAATCTGGGAATGGCCTCACGTCTGATTATATCATAACAAATCATCCCTCCTTTAAGAATCGCGTGCCCTCACGCGGGGTGACAGGTAATTAGGAGGAAGCATATAATAGGGTAAACGATACAAAATAGGCAGGAGCGTGAGGTAGGCAAACAAAGCAAGATCTCGCCTATAAGAACAGGGGACGCGTCCCTTTGTTATAATCCCATAGCCTCTCTTCGTTTCACTTCTACTCTTCGCATCTCACTTCCCTCCCTTTCCCTTCATTAGAATCGTCGTTTCGTTAGCTCTTCTTCGGTTTCGAGGTACCGGAAACATCACGATACCTCGACGAAACCCCGTGCGTAATACCCGCCCTCTTTTGGAGGCCCTAGTTCGTGTTAGGATCCTCTGGTGTATATACTGCCTACGTACCGTAATTGCCGAGTAGAAGGAGGACTAGACTCGCCCTTTCAAGATCAACTACGTGATAGACGCTAAGGCTTCCGTCGCGTATAAGCAGTGTTCTAGCCGCGCTTCGACATATATTCCTATAGGTTTCGCTAAGCTTTATATATAGAGATAGCGGCTAACAATTCTTAGGCCGCGACCGCGGTACTCGGCGACTATCAGGACCTAAGTGACGTGCTAGCGTGGGCCCATAAGGTATTCTAGCTAGACTAGGTTGATATTAATAGTGCTAAGGAGGATGGTGGCGAGCTAGAATGGCCGTTTTCTACGGAGACTCGTCAAGTAGTCGCCGAGAAGATGATAGAGCTCTGTAAGTCCTTCGACGCCTCGGAGTAGGCTCACCGTAAAGAGCATAGGTTGACCGGCAATAAGGCCTAGGTCAAGGTATATAACAAGGTGGTTTTGAGTGAGGTTTTCGGCGTTCTCTAACCATGGTTTCGGTAGCAAACCCGGGCCGACTACAATGCATTTCTTATAGGCCGTCGATCCGCGCTCCCTCCTATCGCCGCCCCCAATTTCTTCAACACCCGGGAGTAGAGAGTGGCCCGTTTTTCGAAGGGACTTATACGTCTTTTGCCTAGAGATAAGGGATACGTTCTGTGGACCCTAGTAAAGCGGGTGTTTTACGAAGGTATTTCGGCGGAGGTTCGTGAGGCTTAAGATGCCCTAGACTCTAATACAGATAACAATGCTTCTATCGGGGGTGATGAGATAGAGGAGCGGACTATAATGGATTTCCCTATTCCCTTAAAGGAGATTTGAGAGTAGGCCCGGTTGTGTTTTCAGATACTTTTATTATACTGCCGTTTCGGCGTCTCCTTCCCTGCTTATTAGCCGGGTTTCCCTTGTCTTTCGGGGTGGTTTCGCTATCCCTTCGTAGTAACTAAGGGTTTTTTCTCCTTTTTTCCGCTTCTAGTAAGAGTATATTGCTTTAGTTGCATTTTCTATATCTCCCTAGGGAACCTATTGGTTGTATTCCGAGGGCCATCCTTTCTATTTGATAAGGAAGTATTTTTCGTCCTCAATTTGTTTTTTATCACGTACTTCTTCGACCTCGTATTCCTCTTCGTCTTCTAAGTCGGGTATCGGTAGGGATTCGCTGCCCTTTCCGGGTATTTTTCTCTATAGTTCGAGGAGGGTTATATAGAAGATATTATAGATTCGATCATATTACTAAGGTAAGCTTAGGCGGTAAGCTTATTTTCCGATAGCCTATAGGACGCGAAAAGGGCCGATAAAGCGGGGTGCTAATTTTCTACTCCCTTTTAATCTAAGGTTTTTTGTTAACAAGCTAATAAGATCTCCCTTTTTAAATTATATCGGAACGTGGTCCTTATTATAATATTTTACCATGGTTTCGTTTGCCTTTCGCTAGTATTCCTATAGTTTCTAGCGGAGGTTTTCCAATTTCTTAACTCGCGCGGACGCCGCTAGGACCTCTTTATAGGGAGTTTCGCCCTCGAAACGTTACCGGAAGTCGGGTAAGTATCCTAGTAGGGCCTAAAATAGAGATATGCTAGTTGTTGCGTTAATAGCGTTATTATATACGAATTCGGCAGATCTTAGTAAAGAAGCCTATAAGACTTACTTATCGTCTATAAAACACCGGAGGTAATGTTCAAGGGTTTGGTTTATACGTTCCGTTTGCCTATCAGTTTACGGGTGAAACGCTATCGAAAGCCTAAGGCGTATTTGTGATAGGTAGCATAGTTTTGACCAGAACTTACTCGTAAATAGTAATCTACGGTCGGATACGATACCCTCAGGGGGTCCGAAGCGTAGTTCAACGTGGTTATAGAATAGTTCGGCGAGG